TGAGTTTGATTCCCGCCTGCCCTGGAGGTGACCACATGGCGTGGCAGACCTCTCCTGACCCGCCCGCTGCTCCCCTCAGCAGTGTACTTTGACATTCGGCCTGTTCTGCTCCCCACTCTGTCTCTGGTGAAGCCTTTCACCACCCCTGAGCCTCTGGCCTGTACCCCAGTTCTGTATGCGCAAATAAATAATCTTTAAAAAAAAAATTCCTCATGAAAATGGAAAATAGATCCACATAGCTGGTTTACTCAAGTCCTTTTGAAAAAAGTTACAATCTGCTTGGAAAACTTGATTTTTATCCAACCCTTTGAATAGCACCAAGGAAAAGAATGGGACATGTCCAGCAGATAGAACAGGTCAAGAGCAATGACGCTAGGAAGCAGAGACTGGCTGGAGAACCAACACCGCACAACCAAGCACTCGAGGTAAACAATGAAACCGTCACTTTGAACATCAGAGCCAGAGCAGGGGAAGAACAGGCACAATGTACCTGTACTCCTGGTCAGGAGTATAAACCTGAACAAACAAATCGTGCCCGCCCAGCCCCGCAACGCTCTAGTGTGAAGTTTCTCAGTACGGCCAAGATTTAGAAGTCAAACACCCACAGCGTGCCTGGCATGTTGCTCAAAGCGCAGCCACAGAGCAGACCGCACATACCCTCGTGCACCTTCCTGTGCCGTTTCAGCCTGCTGGGCGTGGCAAAGTCTTTCCCACATCCTTCGTGGGTACACCTGGGCAGCAAACATGGAATATTAGCCAGTGGTCAAAAAGTCACTAAAGGTAAATATTTAGTCCTTTTTGCCCACCAGTTTCCTCATCCCACAACGAAACCAGTAATAAAAATGAAATTCAAAATTTAGGCGTAATTACAGGTGAAATTTCCATAGGGCTTTTTGTTATTGCATGTGCAATCAAATTAAGCTCCATTTTCCTCTGTATGCTTCTGAAACTATACTGCTTTCATGGCCACAAAAAGATGGTTTCAGTGAATCCCCAAGTCACTCTTTCTGGCAATGGTGCTCTGGGATGGTGTGAAAAGCAAGCAGCTGAACTGAGCAATAAAAGCTTGTGCCACACGGGCTAACACCACCTACAGTGCAAGAATAAGTGGGAGACCTGCCAGCGAGGACAGCTCTGCCACAGCAGCTACTCCCAGGCTAAGGGCAGCCCTCGCGGGAGCCCTGAGCAGGGACGGTAGCTGCCAGAGCCTGGGCCAGTGTCCTCCTGGGCACCCATCCCAGGCAGGAGCTGTGACGTCCTCTGCAAGTCTATTCCGGTGTGTCCAGTCGCCCTTTCCTGTTCCCCATGAAACCCTATAGGCTGCTGCTTTCTTTCTAAAGGGCAGCAGTGCTCAGGTGCCGTTTCAGCCTGCAACAGCAATTCACATAGTTGAACAGACTATCTGAATAGCTAAGTCATTTATTCTCCCACCTCAAGAGAAGTAACACCTCATAGTGTTACAAATTAATGTTTCACACATTGTTTTGAAACATACTAAATACTTCTTTTAGAGAATCAAAAGCAAAACTAAGCTTTTGAAATGCCCACCCAAAATATAAAGGGGCATTACTGGCCAGGTTAGCAGAAAAATGTTAAACTTTTCCAAACATTTGTATCCATCTTTGCCTTTCAATCTTAGTCCCAAATGAAGTATGAGAGTGTTCACCTATGGAAGTACCTACTTGAAGAGTGATTCATTGGTATGCTGGCACTGATGGATTTTCAGTTGTTGATGCTTCTTAAAGGCCTTCTTACAACCTTCAAAACCGCACTGTTTAGGGAAGGTTTGTTAGTCTTGAGAAAAATGAACAGTTCGTAATAGAATTATCTCAAGATAAAAATGCTGAGATAAAAATGTTGTGCCTCCCTAGTGGTGCAAAGGTTAAGTCTCAGCACTGTGAAGCTATACACAGCTGCTGCAGCAGGAGTCCAATCCCCAGCCAAGGAGCTGACCCACATGGCGTGGCAGATCTCTCCTGTATCACCTGCTGCTCTCCTCAGCAGTGTATTTCAGTCAATCGGTCTGTTCTGCTTCCCACTCTGTCCTGGTGAATCCTCTTATACCTCTGGCCTACACTCCAGTTCTTGTATGCATAAATAAATAGAAATTTTACCCATTTGTTCTAAAATTCTATGTCGAGAAGCTTTAAAGAGAAACCTATTTGAGAGAGCAGAAATGTTTGATGGAGTTGTCTTCCAAAAATGTACTTTAGTTAGCATAAATACATTTGCTCTTTTTTAAAAAAAAATATGTATTTATGCATATAGAACTGGGGTATAGGCCAGATGTGCAGGGGGTGAGAGGACTCAGAGACAGAGTGGGGAGCAGAACAGGCAGATCAATGAAGTGCACTGCTAAGGGGAGCAGTGGGCAGGTCAGGAGAGGTCTGCCTCACCATGTGGGTCACCTCCCTGGCTGGGGATCAAAGTAGTGCATTGGCTGTGTATAGCTTCATAGTGCTGTGCTTTAACCCACTGTGCCTCCAGGGAGGGCCCAATGTTTGCTCTTAACATCATCAATATGATAGCAAGTGTCAGACTAAATTTAGATAAATGACACAAAATTTGGTTGATGGAAACTATAGAAACATAGTACATATACATATGGGTACATAAATGTGCAGTCACTCATACTTACTACATATTGTTTTTGCTGATTTTCATGTTTGCGCTCAAAATGTTTCTTCAGGTTTGATTTTGTGTTGAATTTCTGGTCACAGTCACTAGCTGTACAACTATAAGAAATTGTTTAAAATATTAACAATATAAAGGGAAATAAGTTTTAATATGCATATATCCTGTGTTATAAAAGCTAGTTGTTCCAAAGTACTGTATAAAATAATGTAACATCCCAAAGTGATCAGCCATATACTATGCAGGCCTCTCAACTCTCACATTGAGAGATTATCACAGACCAAGATGCACCGCCATGGCAGGCTTCTGAAATGCATCACCCTGAGTCAGTCTTTCTACACAGGGCAGAGGGAAGGCAGAAGACCCTAGTCCCAAAATTCCAAGCCTCCTTAAGCTGAAATAATGTTTATTAAATTAAATTATTTTCACTTTAGAACCTGACAACCTTAATTTTGCTAGAAATAACACTATAAACTACATTTTCAAAAAGACCTCAAAAAGCTCAGCTTATTATTAGAAGTAAAAACATATTCAGAGCATATTATCAAATCGTTCTTGTTCACCCCCATTAATGAGCTTTTTACAACTTCACTCTGATTTATCTACATTTTTGTGAAGTTATCTTGTTTTTAAATGTTTGTTTCGGAGTGATGACGTTTCATAAGCCTAGGTGGGTGAAGCAGGACTCCCTCAGCCTCACTCACGGACTGACAGTGAATAGCTCCCCATCAGGCTCGGTGCTGTCTGGGGGGGGGGGGGGGAGCAGAGAAAGAAAGAGATGGGCAGTGCCCGTGGCAGTGGCACGATGCCGCAGGCCCACAGGAATCCTACGTTCATTTCCCTTTTAGCATATATTCTAAAGGCAGAGGGGAGGTTGCAAACTTAAGAGAACTTCAGATTAACTTGTTCCTGAAGTTTCTACATACCAACGGCCCACAAAACCCCTTACACTCTTGTACATGTTAAAACTTGTCTCCTCTCCCATCAGAAGATACAAATGCAGAAGCCTCACATTTTTATCTTTTCAGTTAACAGTTTTCTTCCCAGATCTAATGGCAAACATAACCACTTCAAAGACCTGAAAAACAGTGCTCTACTTACACAAAAGGCTTTTCCCCAGTGTGAATCAGGCTGTGGCGGCTCAGATGGTAGTCCCTGACAAAGGCTTTGCCACACCCTTCATAGTTACACACAAATGGTCTCTAGCAGAAAGGAAAGGAAGAACATGTCAATCAGAGTTAGTTACTGTGGCATTCATCAAAATCTAAAATTTCTAACAAGTAAAGGCATGGATTCTGTCACTACTCGGTGAGCGTGATTATCTCCTATACCTGGGCCAGACGATGGTTTTCCTGCATGAAGTCACACCACTGATTCTGTTCTATGAGTAACATATGAAATATGCAGGTGGCCTTCAGGCCTTCACAAGTAACAGTACAGCTTTGTGGACCTGCTCCCAATCTGACATTTCAAGAGCAACCCCCTCCTAGAGAGGACTTGTCTCCTGTAAGTCCGGTCAACATGCACAGACCTCCACATAGTAGGTTTTTATCCACCCAAAGTCAAGGGCAAAGTCTGTCTCCATCCAGGACAAGCAGTGTCTGTGCTAATGAGCATGTCTGATGCAGCTACAGAACATGTGTTACACCTGAAAACTGCACGAAAGCTAGGACAAAACACACAGCTCACAGCCTAAATGCAGCCACCACTTGGGACCCAGGAGTTGGGAGGAGGAAAGTCTATTCCGAACGTATAGGAAACGTCAAATCCCCACACAACCAGCTTTGCTTATTATTTAATACACCGCCATGACCATCTGGGTGAGGTCTGCAGCCCTCAAAAGACTGGACTAGTAGAGAAGCAAGAAGACAGGAAGACAGATGGGCTGTACTGCTACAGCAGATCCACAGAATTCTGTACAGCTCCTGCCATGGAGAAGGATTGATAAATATTTGCCAAAACAATCAACGAATGAGATTTCGGACAACGAAGAGGTCACTGACTTTTGGAGTCTTTTTGAAAGCTGATAGTGCCAAAATCCCAAACATCGTCTTTCCTGGTCACCTTTCAATAGCCCTGCCTTCTCTCTCATCCCCACCTATTTCGCGTGACAGAAAAACTTTGACTGTTTTATTCATTGCTACATCCAGGACTAGACTGGTACTGGGTTAGGAAAGAATGAGCACACTGCCTGCAAAACCTCCAGTACTGAGAAATTATTCCCCATTCTATTCCAGTGCTAATGGCTAGTGTGTGCAGGCGGAAGGTGGGGAGGGGGAGAGTGGGCTGGTGGCCTTTCACGCACGCACTTATTTACACACTGTGGGAAGATGTAACTGGCCACGATAAGGACCAAAGGCAAAGACTTGTTTAGTAAACCCCGGGCCCATAGCAAGGAAATCTGTGCCCTAGAATATGTCTACTGGCTCAGCCCCTTCTCTAACAGAAGGCAAAGCTAGTTTGATTCTGCGGAGCAAGGTACAAAGTTCAACATGTGCAAGCAGGTTAACGCCCCTGCGCATTCACGCACGATCCCCGAGCCCCTCGCGCAGGGTTTCCGGGCGGGTGATCACGTCACTAGCCCGTGGGTCTGGGCGCCACGCCCCTCCGCGGCCACGCCTGCGCCCCGTACCTCCCCCGTGTGCTTGCACAGGTGTGCGTCTAGCTTCCAGGCCTTGTTGTAATTCGCGCTGCAGTCGAGGAAGGAGCAGATGAACCTCCTCGGGAGCGCGGGGGGCCGCGGAAGCGGGACGGGGTTCTCGCCGACCTCGATGAACGCGTCACCGATAGTCAGGGATGACACCGCCCGGGCGACCGATGCCGGCGGCTCCGGGGCTGCAGGCGCCTGGCGCTTGGCCATGCGCCGAACCACGTGCAGCCAAGAGATGGGAGGCCCGAGCCAAAGCTCCCGGCGGACCCTTCGCGTAGCCCTCGCGCACTTCCGGGAGCGTCGAGCCGGGCGGGGCTGGAACGCTGGCGCTTGATAGTAAACCCCGCCCCGCGCGGGCGCCACTTTCGCGCATGCGCCAGGAAGTCCCTCCTCCGGCTGGCGCCCCTCCTGTTCTGGGTTAGGAGCTGAGACGTGGAAGGCGGGGCTTCCCCTTCCCCTGCCGACTGCGTGCTGTCCTCTCGGGCGCTGCAAATCCAGAGGCAATGCTTAAATAAGATAGCACCTCCTGCACCAACACCTTCTTGAAAGTACAAGCCTTGCAGCTTTTATCTTCTGACCCCATAATCGGCTTGTCTTCTCTATTATGCATTCATTTTCTTGTATGCTTTTTACACGCTTCCTCTGCACGCCTTAGAACTGCTTTCTATTAAAAATCACCTGGCGATCCTTTAAGAACTATCAAGCCCAGAGCATACCTCGGACCAATTAAGTCACTATTTCTAAAGGCTGGGAAACCTGAATCAGTAGTTTTGGAAACTTCCCAGGCCATTCCCACGTCACAGAAAGGTCTAGGAACTAAAGCCCTGCTGCTCAGTATGGTTTGAGAACCAGCAGCATCATTAGAAATCAGGACCTCACCTACTTGAATAAAAAAGATCGCCACTTGATTTGATAAGCATTAAAATTTAAGAAGCACTGTTCAGAGACTTAAATAAATATGGGTTTCTTGTTTTATGAAGGTCACATTTACAGGATGTCCTAGGATGAGAATAACTGCAAACTTTTATTGAAGGTTCTTTGTCTCTTTTCTTACCTTTAAACTGTATTGTTGCAAATCCTCATCTGTTTGAGTCATTTGAGGGATGAATGAGATTAGATGACCCATAGTTCCACTTATTATGAGCACCACCGCCACCATCCTTCCTAGCCCCCATCCCTGTTATTACCAACTTTCAGTTCTCCCAACAGCCACACTTGTAAAGCAGGTAATAGGATCCAAGCTGCCTTTTATTTTTTCTTTTTCTTTTTTTTCTGTGAAATTATCCATTGTTGCGCCTCCCACCCCTCGCAGTTTGCAGTTTGTCCTGTGTCTCACATACAAGAGTGAGTTTTTTTTTGAACATCAGTCACCTCAAACTCCATATTATTGGTAAGTCAAACAACTTCACTTACTGTCTGGCTACACCCCTTCCCTTATTCCTCTCTGTTGACCATGATGCAATTCTGTATCCCAGCCATGAACATGAAGGACAGTAGTTCTCATCCCTGGCTGAGCATTAGGGTCATGCTGGGACTTTTGAAAATGGTGAAATCAGAGTCGCTGATCCTCCTCCTTTGCTGGCTGGGCTGACTGGCACAGACCTGTCCTCCATCCCCTCCCTCCCTCTCTGTTTCACTTGACTTTGCTCTGGGCCTAGACATGACAGTCAGGCTCTCGATTAATTTTCCCTTCTCTGCACTCTCCTGCCTTGCATGTGGCAGCCAGCATCATCTCCTAAAACATCTAACTCTGTAGGTTTAGATTTGCAAGATTTGTGTTTACAAGAAATTTTTGATTCCTCTTGGCTGTAAAACTTATAGTCCAGGCTAACAGCCCACAATTGTGAAGCTGGCCTCACATCTTGTTTGGGATCCTCCCTCCCCTGGGCACAATTCCCAGCCAAAACCAAGTCCTGCTTCCTCTAGACAAGTCTTACCTGGCTCCTGCAGCCCACATGTGTCTTTTCTACCTCTGAAATTTTGTAGCCCTTTCTTTTCGTAGTATTGAGCAGATGGTCTTCAAATGTGTTGGGTTCTCTTTAACTAGGTAGGTATATTATTTCCTATTTTCCCAATCTTAATTTACTTTCCATCAGGGTAAAGTCTGGAATATATTCTTTTTGAGTCCTATACTTTGATGAAATAATTTACCATGTTGGAGAAACCCACAAGGCAAAGAATTAAGGGTGGCCTCTGACCAACAGCCAGCTGACCCAATGGTCAGTCCAGTGGCCCTCCAGGAACTGAATCATGCTGACAACCAAGTGAGCTTATTGCTGAAAACTTGAGCCTTCAGATGAGACCCTAACTCTGGCTGAGACCTTTGTGGCAACCTGGAACAGACCCTAAAGCAAAGAACCAGTTAGGCCATGCCAGTCCTGATCCACAGAAAGTATGAGTTTATATATGTTGGGTTTGGGGTGATTTGTTATGCAGCATAACTAATACATAGAGTTAATCTTTCATTACCTCAAAAAACCTCACACCTCACACTCAGAACATTGAACAGGGGATTCTGACCAGAGGGGGCCTCTGACATAGCATCTAATTTTTATTCAGTTTTCGTCCATCCAAAAATCAGATATATCGTGAAAAAAATTAGGTAATTATGTTGCTAATGGACAAATTAGCTCAAATGTGGACTGCCCTGGAAGAGCTTCAATTTGTGGTTCATTCTATTCCATCTTCCAGTGCTTTCTTATCCCAGGTTGGTCCAGCACAGTCAAGGTGACTAGTCAGGGCCTTTGGCCTTCTGGGCCAGCAAAAAGCCAGGGAATCATGCCTGAAACACTTCTTTAACTTAAAGAAGCTGTTTAAGTTTGCTGTTTGCCTTTATGGGATGAAGTAGAAAGACCCCTGAGTTGGGTCCCAGTTATAATAACTACTTGAGTATGACTTTGCTTAACTCTTTCCAAACTCTTTTGCCTATAAAATATATGGGCCTATAAAATATAAGGTCTATAAAATAAAGATACCGCTCTACCTCTCTCACAGAGGGAGCATCTTATGAGAACTCATCCAGTTAATATCTCCTCTGTATCTGACGGATGAACATACGTCCATCAGTCCAGGACAAAGAGTGACCAGAGATGGTGAGGAGTAACTGAGGAAACACAGGTAGGGTATGTAGTAATACAGTGACTGGGAGGGAGTGCTCAGTGAACGTTAACTCTCTTCTTCATCATTGCTCTGATCTGTGCTAACCCCTTCAACCATGGAAATGTTGTACCTGAATAAACTTTGTAAACTTACTAACACTGGGTTCTCACAGGCTGGCTCAACAAAATGAGTGAATGGATGACCACTGTAACATTGGGCAAGTTCAGTCCCGAGGGAGCTGAGTGGTAAATGTTAAGAATAGTTCCTTCCATTTTGCCTGGGGATTGAGCAGAGATTCTACCCCTGGGCCACATTCTCCCTGTGCTCCCATCTCTCAGATCCTGAGGCGGCACTGATTGTCTAATTGCCCGTTCAGCAGCGGTCCCTAGCTGTCACTTGTGTCTTTGTCTTTGCTCCCAGTTGCACCCTCATCAGCTCTCAGCATCTGTCCCTTGAATGTCCTCCTCCATGTCCCCCAGAGCCACCCAGCAGACAGGGCTTAGACCCAGCACCGTTCTGCCTTCTTGGTTTTCAGAGCATCCTGCAATTCCAGCCTGGCTCCTCTAATTACTCTCCTCTCCCTTTGGTCTGATCATCACATTCCCCGCAGATGTAATTGCCTGTCACGGTACCGCCACAGGCCTGTGGTTAATCATTCCAGCCACTTCAAATCCATTTTAGTCTGGAGTAGCTAGATTCCATCTAGTGAGCGGGCCTGATTGCTGTCTGATTACCCAGAGGGTCAGGTACTTGAATATGCAGTTTCCATCTACTGTGCAGGCAAGATTTTTGTGTTTGATAATTTCTTCTGCTACTTTTTTCACGGAGATGCCCCTGGCAGAGGTGAGCAAACATGTAGGAAGTTCTTGCCCCATTTCTTGGCAGTTTCTGGTTTCCTTTCAAGGCAGAGTCCATCCATTTCTCTTCACTTCTACTGCCACCATCTCTGTCCCCACTGCCGTGGTCTCACCTGACCTGTACATTTCCAGACTCACCCACCCTCACAGGCCTTCACACTCCTGCTAAGGGGTTCTTCCTAATTGCCAGGACTGTCAGTGTTATCCTATAGCCTTTAGGATACGCCACTCCTCCTTTATAGAACCCTAACAAGGGCAGAACAGTGGTAATAATGGGGGAGTCAATTCCTCCAAAGAGCTTGGTCCAAAGACCAGCCCATTTGGCCAAAATGCAAAATGCTGTGCCCCAGGCCCCACAGTACCCTGCCCTCCCCTCCTCACCATACACTCTTTACCTACATCTGCAATTAACCCTCCCTGACAGCGGGTGAGCTGCCCCGCGGGCTCCTTGTATCTTACTCTGTGCTGTGTCCCCAGCAGCAGGCACAGGTCTCGACGCATGGTAGATGCCAACAAGCAGTCCTTGCCTGAATCTCTCAAGTGGACGTTTTCACAGCTTGGCTTTTGCTCAAACATGGATTGGTCCAGATAATGTTTCATCCAAAACATTAGTTTTTGGCTTGAATAAAAACAGTTATTGCTTTCTAGCATGTTATATCTTTTAAAATAAATGTCTCATGCTTCCAAGTTCCCTGGATTCAGCGTCCCTTCCCACTTTGTCAACTCCTTTAGGTCCATTTTTGGAAGTTTGCAGAGTGAGAACTTTAAATACACCGTCTTATTGAATCATCCCTAAGTTTGTGAGCAGGCATTAATTCTGTTCACAGCTGAGGGCACCCCATGTCCTTGGATAGGAGGTTCAGTACGAGCTGCCCAAGCGACACTGACTGCTGCTTCATCCCTAAGCCTCCTGCCCTCAAGGACCCCCTTGTCTGGTGTCTGGTTCCACACAGTCCTACTGGAGTCATTCCCTTGCTACTGAGTGGAGATGTTCACTTACCAACTACATATCAGAGCAAAGCCTGTTCCCTTCTTTTTTTTTTTTAAGATTTACTTATTTTTTTCATATAGAACTAGGGTACAGGCCAGAGATGTGGAGGGTGAGAGGATTCACCAGAGACAGAGTGGGGAGCAGAACAGGTAGATATTTGAGGTACATTGCTGAGGAGAGCAGCAGGCGGGTTAGGAGAGGTCTGCCGCCATGTGGTCACCTCTGGGGGGAGAGGGGGTTTGAACTCATGCGGAAGTGGCTTAAGCTTCTCAGTGCTGTGCTTTAACCCCCTGTGCCACCAGGGAGGGCCGCCTGCTCTCTTCTTGAGGCTGGAAAGTCATTTGCGCTGTTTGCCTCACAGCCTAGGGCAGGGACAGGCCAACGCTTACAAGATTTTCTGACACTTGTAGGGCGGAAATTGTCAAG